TTGATACTCTGCTCTCCGTCTCGTGGGGGGGGGGGGTCTGCGGGCTTACTCTGTCTCCTGGAGCTGTGCCTGGGCACTCTATTCATTCCAAAGCACTGACCCTGAGGCATTATGCTGACTGCTGTTTTGTGTAGAAGGAGGTTGTATTTTCCATGAATTTCGTTTCCAGGCGTAAAGGGGGTGCTAGGAACTGGGCCTGACTGGGGTGGGAATAGCGTGGACTGTACCAGCAGGCAGGTGGTGGGGGTCCCCACTTCCCCCAGGGTAAGGAAAAGGACTATGGAGCCCTGCTGGGGGGAGGATTCAGGAAGATGCTGCAGCTGAAAGCTTCCTGGGAGCCTGACCTATAGGCTGGGGAAGGGGTAGTGCAGGGCAGATGGGCAAACATAAACCAGGGCTGGACTGTGTTTGGGGAGAATCGGAAGCAGCCTGAATGCTCATGTGCAGGCTTCATTTCAGGAAAAGCAGCTGGGTCTGAGTGGTTTTCTCTCATGGCAGGGAGGGGGCAGCAGTGTTCTGATTACACTTACAAAAAAAAAAACTTATGTCCAAAATACATACAAAAGATATATATACACAGGAGTGGGGTCGGGGAGGGTATAGCTCAAGTTGTGGGGTGCATGCTTCACTCCCGGCTACCTCCTCTAAAAATAAAGAAGTACACACACACAAACATCTCTGTGGGGAACCTAAAGATAGATGAAACCGGGCGCCAGCACTCAGAGAGCTTCACATCAGAGGGGAGAACAGATGGCCCCGCGGGGAGCGGCCCAGGGCAGAACAGCAGGAAGGAGGTGGGAGGGACGCCCAAGGGGCTGAGCCGCAGCGGACCGGGCGCCACGGGGGCGGAGGCAGGCGGATGGGGAGGCTGTCAGTGCACAAGGTCTGGGTCCCAGGAGGCAGCAGAGGGGCCAGAACAGCAGGTGTTGGCTCAGGTGGGCTCGCCCGCCCCAGAGCCCCGCCTGCACGCCGGGTGGCTGCGGACGGTGGTGGGCCTGGCGGACGGACCACAGCGGGGGCGGAGGGCGCAGCTCCGCCCGGAAGGGTCCCGCTCGCGCTGGAGGCGCAGCTCAGAGGTACCTGGGTTGGTCAGCTTCTCCTCCAGCTCGGCCTGGGTGGTCACACTCTCAGACTTCGGGGAGTGGATAATCAGCACGACAGAACCCGCACAGCTTAGCAGACACCCCAACTTGCCCAAGATGTTGAGCTTCTCTTTCAGAAGGTAAGAAGCTAAAATGGACCTTTAATTTTAAAGTAAGAAATCGTTAAAGATGAAACCAGACTAGCTGACCTGTTTCTACTAACTGCAGATACTTTATTAAAGTTACATTTGCTTTAGAGTCACATTTATTTTCAATTTCGTTTTAAGAGTAGAAAGACTAGGATTTATTGAAGTTGCTATTTCAATACAAACAGGATTTCCGTATCAATTCCGTGCATTGCCTGTACAGTTAATGATACTCTCAACTCTACCACTTTATTATATTATTCATTCTTTCAGTAGATATGAAATACACCAGAGTAGAAAAGTAAGTTTTATGATGAACCAAAAATAAAAATATTGCTTATTTTAAAATCAGTCTAAAAAACTAGGTTAAGTAGGAAAATAGGATAGAAAATTGTTACAATAATTACAAGTAATTCATGATCAAAACACTTAAGAGAAAATACACAAATAAGAAAAAAATCAAAATGCTAACAGTAATTGCACTATGGTGAAGGAGTATGTGTGATCAATTATTTTTCTCTTCTCTAGCACTGGGAACTTTTAAAATGTGCTCACATTACTTCTTTAAAGCAAAAAAAAAAGAAATTCCTCATAAAACATCTATAATCCTAACGCTGGGAATAATGTTTCTTATTTCCCTGTGAGACAGGAGGGAAGGGGGCAGGGCACAAACATAAAAAGAATGACACAGCAATTGAGGATAGGACAGAAACTGATTAGAACCAAGACGGCGGGAGATTTAACTCCCAGTAGACTTGGAGGCCCAGGATGGCAGGAGGTTTGACTTCCAGTAGACCCTGAACCTCATTATACACTGATTGTAATGTATTAGGTAAATGACACTCCCACAGGTGCCATGACAGTTGCAAGGCTGGTCATAAAAGGTCAAAAAGTGGGCAGCAGCCCAATTCTTGAGAATCCCCAACTCTTCCCCAAAGTAGTTGGAAATAATCCTCCCACTTGTTAGCATATGAAATTACTGAGCCCATAAAACTAACAACCCCACACTTCTTGGCCGATCTCACGTTCCTAGACGATCCCCTGCTGTGAAGCTCTCACCTCTCAAGATGGCCAGTGTTCTGCGTATGGAATGTGTGTCTCCTAAGATTCTCGCGCTCTCTTGCCTTCGGAGACAGCCCACACTCCACTGATGGAGTGTGCACTTTTCTGAATAAATCTACTTTTACTCAACTGTAGCTCGCTCTTGAATTCTTTCCTGGATGAAGCCAAGAACCCTCACTTGGTGGGGCATGTCCCAGGGGTTCAACCAAGACTTGGGACATGGCCACTCTCTTGTGCCCCATTTTCCTGCAACACTTGTGTAAATCAGTATATGATCTGAATTGGAAAACCTGGGCTTTTTCTAAATCATGGGATTGATGATTGTCGCTTAGCTTCCATCTTCCCCTTATGCCGCTCTGTGTCCCTCCCCAAGGAGACTCAGCAGTGTAGTTGGGAAAATACGCAACATCACCAAAAGAAACCACACAGGACATATGAATACACAACTGGATCTTAAACTGAGGGGCTCCACACAGTTGGATTAAGAGATGCAAACCAGAGGATTGGAAGGCTTGATGAGCGAGAGGTGGCCTGGAGTCAGCCTGGGATGAGGGGCGGGCCTGTGCCAAGGGTGGAAGGGGCTGCCACGCATGAAAGAAAGGAGCAGGAACATACTGGCCATAAGGTCAACTCATCTCCTACTCCACTCTTAGTCTTATACTGGAGTACAAATTAAGCAGTACTGATATGAAATAGAGTGTTTAACAGAAAATTTGAGGGATAGTCAGGCTGACAGGTCAGGAATCAACTGCCATTGAAAAAAACAGTTTATTACTCACAGTTTCCAAGATGAGGGGGTCACAGCACCCCAGGCAGGACCACATGGGGAAGGAAGCACCGGGACTGGTCAGGAGGCACGGGGTTGGGGTTGGGGGGGAGACTGTGGCAAGAGCCTTTATTGTGGTTTCTGTGGGAAGGAATGTGTGAGGCAGGCTGAGCAGCTTGGGACTGACTAATGTGAATAATCAGGGGGCTCTTGGGCACAGGGGCGGTCCCTAGCTGTCTGTCACCTGGTCCTGGGGACATGAGGGCAGGAGAGTGATAGTCCAATAAAGAAGGTGGTTGGAGCGTGGGCTCTGGATCTCGGTGGGTTTAGATTTGAAACTCATGCCTGAGCAGGAGAAGACCTCCTCCTAAGGAAGGGAGAAGGGGCCAAGGGACACAGGAACCAAGGTAAGAGGGCTCAGGCACCTTATTGGACTGTCCAGATCAAGGCACATGCGCCACATGCATGTAGGGCAGATGTTAGAGCATCAGTTTAGAGATGCTAGAAACACAGTCAGTAAAGCACCGTGTCATTTAAGGACACACCTAGAAAGGATCTGGGCAACGGCTCCCTTCTGAGTGTGTCCCTCGTGGGGAACCAGTCTTCGCTTCCCCTCTGTGGTTATGAATGGACAACCCCACAGTGGCCAGAATGGGGGCATCCACCTAATAGGCGCCTCCCCCAGGAGGAAATCTCCAACTGTCTAGGCTCAAAATCTTTCTCCCCTTGCTCTTCCTGGGCTGCAGTAACTAGAGCTTGCTACGTTCTGAGCTGAGATTCAATGAAAAGCATTCAAGAGCTCTTTGACTTAAATCAGAAGTCAACAGACTAATGGTTGAAAGCTCAATCCAGCCCTCCACCTGTTTTTGTAAACAACATCTTACTGTCTCATAGTCATGTCCACACAGTTAGTCTGGTCTGTGGCTACCTTCCACCATGATGGCAGAGGCCAGCAGCTGCAACAGGGGTCATACGGCCCACAAAGCCTAAAATATTTACCATCTGGCCCTTTACAGAAAAAGCCGGCCACCTCGTAAGTTAAATGATCTGCAAACCTAATCACACACCTACCTGGAGAGCTGGCCTGAGGTGGAGGCACAAATTACAGGTTGGCACCAGAGCCACAACACCACAGAGGAGCAGCGACCCCACTGGTGGGGCTGGGGCGTGGGCGGGGCTGGGAGGGTGGAGTGAGGAGCAATGAGGTAAAGAAAAGGTAACGGAAAGAGTGGGAAAGAAACTTAAAGTCAAGAGAGTCGATAAACTCTATTAAATTGACAGTGATAGGAAACAAACAGAGTGTGCTGCAGAAATGACAGCAGGGTCTTGAAGAGAAATTTGTACACTCATGTTCATAGCAGCACTATTCATAGCAGCTAAATGTGGAGGCAACTTAAGTATTCACTGATGGATGAATGAACAAGCAAAATATGATATATACACTCAATGGAATACCACTGCGCCTAAAAATAGGAAATCCCAGCACACACCACAACATGGATGAACCTGGAAGATACTATGCTAAGTGAAACAATCCAGTCATAAAAGACATATACTGTATGATTCCTCTTACGTGAGGCCCCTTGAGCAGTCAGATTCACAGAGACAGAAAGCAGAATTATGGTTGCCAGGGGCTGGGGAGGGGCAAGGGGGAGGCAGTGTTTTTAATGGATGTAAGGTTTCACTTTTACAATACAAAAGGAGCAGTGGAGATAAATGGTGTTGGAGATCACACAATACTATGAATGCATTTGATACCACTGAACTGTACACTTACAGGTGGTTAAGATGATCAATTTTGTCATGTGTATTTTACACAATAAAAAAAAAACTGGGGGGAAAAAAAACATGCGGCAGCTAGGGCAGGAAAGTGCTCACACCCCGGTAGGGGTGGCCACGGAGGAAATTTAGACTGTCAAAAGGAAACACACACCAGGGAAAGATTCACTAAAGGACAAAAAACGCTGCGGAGTTAGGGATTTGGGTTTAGGAAAACTCAAGGATTGACTAGCTTGACTGGATACTTTATTATATATATCAAGTGCTGTCACATAAAATCAAATCAACTTTTTAAGAAAGCAACTTAATCAGGACAGTTTACTTGCCAAAGCTGTGATATTTTATAGTGAAAAAATGAGTGCTAGTTTCATAGGTAAAAGTCAAGACTTTTTTTAAACGTTAAAAGTGCACATAAACATATTGTTCTTAAGTGACATAAAAGGCAAATCTGTTAGAGTACACTCACTTTCTGCTTGCATATTTATTTGGGACAAGGAATGAATCTATGTATCTACATGATTCAGACGGTATTTTCTAAAACAGATCTTTGAAGAAATTGATGCTGCATTTCCAAGACAGTGGTAGCTACAAACCTTTTTCAAGTCATAGCATTAATAATTACTTAGTAAATATATCGCTAGAAGGTTACTAAAGAAAAACCAAAGGAGAAGTCTTTCAAATGATTTCTACTTTTCTTCTCCTGGACGATGGACAGTACTCTGTGTCATACTGAATGAGTACCAAATATCAAAACACTGTCTTGGTCTTGCTTGCCCAGATTTTACTGTAAACAATGATGTAACACAAATGGTAATTTGAAATCAAAAAACGACAAAAATCCCTGCACACTACCAAGCACCTCCTTCCATTCCAAGCCTCTCCTCACCTCTGTCCAGGTCCACGTGTTTCTCCCTGAGCCCACCAGGGGCTGCACTATACTGTCTGTCCCCTCATCCACCCGAACGCCCAGGAAGTTTACTGTATCTGTCCTGTGAGAAGTGTGAGTGCAGCTGGGGCACATGGAGCCCAATAAATGAACTTTTGTTTCTTTCATTTATTAAGCCATTCAAATATGCTATAAAACAGTATTTTCCTTTGATGATTCAGTATTGTTTGACACTTATATTGGTACACAAAGCTATAATAAACATTTTTTCCCTAATCATTTTCTATGATTAAATTTCTAAGTGCAAGACTCTCACTTTAAGATCAAGAACACCTGGAAGATGCCAAACACTCACTGTCATTCCATCTTCTGAAAACCTGTACTAGTTTGAAATGGACATCGTTCTATTTTCTTTCTTTCTTTTTAACAGCCTTTTTGAGATACAGTCCACATACCACAAATGTATGTGTACATCTAAAGTGTGCATGCAGGTGTATACATCTATCAAAATCCATCAAAG